AGCAGACAAAGTTCAGAGTCCTAGATCTGAGGGTCGTAGTCACGACTGATGCGGCGCGGGTTCAGTGGCCGAATCAGTTGTTCCTAAAACCAGAACTTCGGTCTGTGAACCCGGAGTGCGGATATGTTTATACCCATACATAACCGGTAATCATTGCGATGAGAGCCAAACTTATATAGAGCTCTTTCTTTCAATGTTACTGTTTACACTGGAAAAAAAACACATTGTATCTAGAGTCCAGACTCTTAAAAACATCGACAAGAAAAAGTACTCTTGATTCACGGTGCGATGCAATGCGGTTGTGCGCTGACAAAGTTGGGGCGAGTAAATTAAATTCGCTGGAAAAAAGGCTTCGACTTAGAACGAAGTAATTAAGGGCTGTACTGTAAATAGCAGACAAAGTTCAGAGTCCTAGATCTAAGGGTCGTAGTCACGACTGATGCGGCGCGGGTTCAATGGCCGAATTAGTGGTTCCTAAAACCAGAACTTCGGTCTGTGAACCCGGAGTGCGGATATGTTTCTACCCATAACCGGTAATCATTGCGATCAGAGCCAAACTTAGAGCTCTTTCTTTCAATGTTACTGTTTACACTGGAAAAAAACACATTGTATCTAGAGTCCAGACTCTTAAAAACATCGACAAGAAAAAGTACCCTTGATTCAATCAGAATCTAGCTTAAATGAAGAACCAAGCCTCTTAATTTAAGCATATTTCGTTTTGATTCAAGCAAAAATCCGATTGAATCAAAGTATTTTTTCTTGTCAATGTTTTCAAGAGTCTGGACTCTAGATCCAATGTGTGTTTTTTTTCCAGTGTATCCTCAGGTCCAAAACCTTCGATTGAATTGCCTGCCACAAAATTTACAAAATGAATTTCCCTGACACATTTTGATAAAATTCCCTGAAAATTGAAGATATGCCGGATGGTTAGAGAGACATAATTGCGACAAATTTGCGGTTCGAAGCGCCAAACTCATTGCAGAAAGCAATTGAAGGAGGCTGAACACTTTTTCTCTGACATTTTCGTTATTTCCTCTGACATTTCCCGATATTCCCGGTGCTCCCTGATTTTGTCAATCCTGTTCAATTTGTGTCGCAGACCATGCACAAAAGCTATATCTATCCCTTATAATACATTTGAGGAGGTTTTTGCTTCTTATTTTCAAATCATTTGACTTCATCAGTTTTACTCGAAACACTAAAAAAACTATAAATTATACCAAAAACTGTATAATCCTTGAGCTTTCGTGACGAAAAAACCCGAGGTGATTTCACTCTCCCTAGCAATGACCTCAACTTCTGGTATGACGCATTACAATTCGTCTCTCAGTCATACAGAGTAAAATAAACGCGCGTTTGAACCGTGCCTTCCACAATCAAATTATTCATCAAGTACCGAAACGGTATTATTAAAGATAGAAGGTTGACCGCATAGCCCCCTCCTCCTGCTTCTTTCGATCATTTTTTCCCTGCTCAAAAGCAAAAATATTCCATTCGGTGCGCAGAACGAGAATGACTCCCTTCTAAGCACCCATCCTTCTCCCATTCCAACTGGGAAACGACCTTTACGCATTTCAGCACTCCATCAATCCGCAAGTCTTTATACTCATTGTTGAGTGGAATGCTCATTTGTATACTCCACGCTCCGACCGAACTTTCTCGCCACGCTTCGCCTTCCACCGGGCCACAGTGGATCGAGTCAATGGGAAAGCTCGGACAAAATTTGGAAACTTTAAAAGCTTATTAATCCGTTCCTACAAAACGTTGAGGTTTTTAAAAGTGGTCCCATTGGTTTTCTCGTGAAATTCTCCTCTAGAGGCACCCCTTAACATTTAAAATGGACGTATTTCTACCAAACGAAACTATAAGCATTAAGACATGAGCTCTGAGACCCATAAGAATATATACATAATGGGGCTCATGTCATAATACACAGAGTTCGGTTTAGCAGAAATACGTCCAAATGTGACGAATGGGTCAGTTGCGCTCACAGAATTGTGTTGTATGTGTTTGTGTTTGTGTTGAGTTGTGTTTGTGTTGTGTTTTTGATGCTTGATTCTAAAGATTAGCTGAAAATATTAAGATCTGTCCAAACATCAACTTTCTCCGTTAAATATTAACCGAGATATTGCCCTTTGAAAAGTCGAGTTCTTGACGTCATCCACGGCGGTAGTGACACCCTTGGTTTCTTCCACCTTGGTTTTATCAGTCAGGGAGACACACACTAGCACTAGTTCTACGTGAAACGCGGATGAAAGCAAGGTGAAAGAAACCAAGGGTGTCACTACCGCGATGGATGACGTCGAAAACGCAACTTTTCAAAGGGCGATATCTCGATTATTATTGAACGTAGAAAGTTGCGATTTACACCGATCTTAATATGTTTAGCTAATCTACAAGAATCTGACATAAAAAAAAAAAAAAAAAAAAAAAAAAAAAAAAATCTGTGACCAGCGCAGCTGACCCATTAAGCATCAAAATTTGGAGTTTTAGTCAAAAATTTGATGTCCGACCTCTCTGGTTGACTTGACCCACTGTGCGAGCTTTCAGCGTTGACAGTTGAATGATTTCACCCACTGGATCGCGGCCAGCGGATGAAATTGCCGTGTCTTTTGCGTTGCTACGGTGCGGTCATGTTGCGACAGGTGAACAGCTGGGGTGCATTGCACCTCCTTCCCTTGGCAACGGCGTCCGATCGTCGATTCTCATTATTATGATTATTATTACAATGTTGGCTTTTATTTCGGCGAAGCACGGGCGTGACCGCCCGCCCGCCCGTGGAAGTGGACGCGGCCTGAGGTCAAGGAATCGTCCGCCTTCGAATAATCTAGATCTCTACCGCATCGCGTGGCATGGCGTGGGTCAGCTCTATTTGTGAATTTCACTGATAGCGTAATCGCACCCATCGAAATAGAGCAGGTGAGAAACAGCACGAGTAGAGCTTGGATATCGACGCACTGGGGTGATCCCTTATTGCGTAATGCCGTTAATTCACACGTTGAAAAAGTGCGTTCAGTAACGGCACGTGGGTGGGTTGAATCAATAAGAGAGATCGGACAAAATTCGGAAACTTTAAATACTTATAATTCCGTTTTTTACAATACTTTGAGGTTCTCAAGATGGTTTCATTGGTTTCCTTGTAAAGTTTTCTTCTACAAGCACCTATTGAAATTTAAAATTTGATGAATTTAACATCAAAATTTGCAGTTTTTGTCAAAAATTTCATGTCCAACCTCTCTCATTGACTCGATCCACCGTGCGGCGCGTGGGTGGGTCGATTCTTTGGGGGCAAAATTCGGCAAAACGAAACCGGGGGGCACGGGGAGGGGGGTCTGGGAAGTTTCTCCTCAGCCAAGTGGGTTCTCTCTCTTTGGAAAATTGTTGAAAATCAGGTACCTACTCCTACAAGACAATTTTCGGATTTTTCCACAAAAATATTATTTTTGCAAAAAAAAACATCTTTGAAAACTTTGGGGGAGGGCAGCGATCCCCCTTCCCCTTCCCCCACCGTCTACAAATGGATATGCGTGGTTTCAACAGTGATTGCGTCGTATTAGATGCGTTGTCTGCCTGAAAATTTGGAGGGAGCAGAATTGACACGAAAAGTGTACGTAGGTTACGCACCGAACTGTTCCGCCTCCAATTTTTGAGGTAGGCAAGAACACATCTGCCGAGCAGGAATAGTTATCTATTCGATGAGTTGTAGGCGCCTGTGTTGTCTACGATTCTCTTGCTTTTTCTTTGCCTTGCAGTGTAAACTACTTATAATGAATTCCACCTGACGAACTGGATGCTAGTTCATTCTTTCTATTTTAGTCTCTATGATTGATTATAAATATATACTACAAGAATAAAACATAGTTTCATTAGGATTCAGGGCCGGATTTTCCTACTTGCCGCCCATGGGCCGCCTGTATTTTGCCGCCCCCTTCTCGTTCGTTATGAAACATCAATAAAAACCATCAAGTGAACGTGCCAGCGGAGGAGGGGTGCATAAGACGCGTTTACTCGTGTTGAACGCATTTTTAGGGAAAGCCCTGTCAACACTACAAGCAAAAGGTCACGGAACTTTGCTCGAAAGTCAAGTTTCGTAAACCTATCCCTAATGGACAAGGCCTTCCATTCATAAGAAATGAACGAAAAAATTATGAAAGAACAAACACAAAATTTGGTTAAATGATTTTAACTTCCGCCGCCGCGCCGACCGCACCCTGTTTGGCGCAATGCGTGAAGTATTCACGCATTCTTGTAGGCGCTATCCGTTTCACGCTGACCACAATAACCGCACTGTGTTTGATGCAATGCGTGAAGTATTCGTGCAGTCTTGTAGGCGCTATCCGTTTCACGCTGACCACAATGACCGCACTGTGTTTGATGCAATGCGTGAAGTATTCGTGCAGTCTTGTGGGCGCTAATATGTGTTACATGCCGACCGCCGCGCTGAGGGCTTCTCCTTTTCATCTCAAGTCCTCGTCATCATTTCTCCCTAAGTCGCGCCGTTCCAGGCCAAATTGGGCGATTGGTTTCTCTCTTAACTCGACTAATAAAAGGTGCTGTCTCTTGTATCACTGAAAGACGACAAAATTAGAAATTACTATACTCTCAGGAAATGAGAGATTTTGTAGTCTTTTCTCGTTTGTAATATTTTTTTTTTCTAAATCCGATTTTTTTATATACCTACATTTAAAAAAGTAGCAAAATTTGCCGCCCCCTAGATTTGCCGCCATGGGCCCATGTGGCCACCCCCTTAATCCGGCCCTGTTAGGATTGAATCTGAAATTAAAGTGAGGGGGTGGTAATTTTACACTTAACAATGTTGTTGAATGATGTTCAAAAAAGGATCATTCAACTTTCAAAACCTATCGCTCGAATTTTTCACGATTATTGTCTCCGTCTCGAAAAAAACAACAACAAAACCATCTCATTCTGAATGTCTATCTGCACTTAAACCTATGATGCTAATGAATCCACCAAATACACCACACTAATGAATGACGTAGGAGTTGGCGCCCAACGGAGAGCTGATGGCCCGATGAGGAGTCACCGTTCAAGTTGCAAACTTTTTCCGGGAGAAATCGACCGATCAAAATGATCTCCTCAGGCAAGACTCAGTCACCGAACGAGAGACCGTATCAATACGAGTATACTGCTCTGGGGTAACTTGAAATTTTCCAACCGATCGCTACGCACGAGTAGATACTGCACGTTCCTTAACTTCAGCACCATGCGCGCACTTAACATCGGCACGATGCTTTCGTTCAGAAGGAATTGGATCGTATTTATCAGAAAAGGAACCAAGCCACATCAGCTATTGCCAAATGGACGTATGTATGCTAAATGGAACTATGTGGAAGAGGAAAGATGGGGTGTGCTCGTTAGTGCTCGGGCAATAAGAATGAATGGGGATTTTAAAGCGCCAGTGACGTCAGCGGCGACGAAAGCTGTCTCCGTTGTCGTGCTCGCTCGTATTTAACTCATGAGCCCTGCCCAAAAGGCTCTTGTCACATGTCCACGGCTCACAGGTTGGCGCTCAGTCCCTTCTGATTAAATGTCAAATCCCGCTTTTCAATTTTTTCGAAAGGAACTACATCCACTTTAACATTGTTTCTTATCCAGCTTCCACGAGCACACCTCATCTTCCCAGTTCCACATAGTTTCTTTTAGCATAAATACTTCCAAATTTAATTGGGCAATTTAGTTTTTTACAAGAGAACGTCGGTGCGGATTCCTTTGAAAATTTCAAGGAATTTGCTTTGTAATATGCAGAAAATTCTCTTAAATTTGCAAAAAAATCCGCACAACCGTTTTAATGTAAAAAATTAAAGTGCCCAATTAAATTTGGCAATAGCTGATTTGGCTTAGTTCCTTTTTGCTTAACGCGGTCCAATTTATATCTCGCACGAAATAAAGGGGGTCCTTCAGCAAAAGAGAATTAGCAGGGTTTAAAGTTTTAACCTTTGGGGTTAGGGTAAATAAAATAGGGTACATAAAGGGCTTAAAAAGATTAACCCTTTAACCCTAGTCTGCCTGAGTGGGGTCAGATTGACCCCACGGGAGTTTCAACTCTTTGCCATTTCTCGTGGTATGCACGAAATTTTTTGTCCTTCACTAATAGCTCTACAAAAACATCTAGGAACACGATTTTGAAGGGGGAAAAAAAAATGTGCATGAGAGATCAAAAAATTCACGAGTACCCCTAGAAAGCCTGAGCGGGGTCAGATATCCTTATAACATATATTTTACCATTTAGCATCACAAAAGCTTACTTTGAAGGTGTATTCATTTTTCTCTTTTTAATTTTTTTCAGAAACTTAAAAAACAAGCAAAATTTTTCAGATTTTTTTCGTTTTCAGTATTTAGTAGCCCTATGATTTTTTTTCTCATGCTGAGAACAACATGGCAACATGTGTATGATAAAATGGTTGCATACCCTGCGCCGTGTTTTTTAAAACTTAGATATGCTTTATGGTTAAGGCCTGTAAGGTTAGTGCACTGATATTTACTAAAAACATGAAAAAAAAACATAACTAACTAATTGATTTTCGGCTGGGGTCAAATTGACCCCGCTCAGGCTTTCTCGTTGGTTCAGAGGCTCAGGCAGACTAGGGTTAAGTATTTTATTAAACAGGTGTCATTTCTCGTAATGTTGTGATGCAATTATTGAGGTTCAGCCTTCTATATTTATGGTTTCATCAAATTTTAAGTTAGTCTAAACTAATAAATTTCAAAATTATAAGGAAATTGAATTTGGCTTTCATACAAACTTAGTACCTATCAAATATGGTTTACGGTTGGAGGTCGGATGGGAATTTACTGCGGTTTGCATGTTGGAAACTCACAATTTTCTTCCAGGACAACAATAATTACAATATCATTTGTACGTATTTCTGCCAAACGGAACTATTTGCATTATGAAATGAGCCCTGAGACCCATAAGAATATATGCATAACATGGCTCAGAGTCATAATGCACATAGTTCTGTTTGACAGAAATGCGTCCATTTGTTACACAATCAATCAAACGATACACTTGTGAAGCTCTCAGCGTCGCTCCTCTGACATAAGAGCGTATCTCTATTTCAACATGAGCCCCAGAAAACATGGATTTATATGAGAATTAGGACTCATGTGGATATTGAGATACGCTCTTACGTCAGAGAAGCGACTTAATGTGGACAGTCTCGGCTAATTGAAAACCGTTCATTCATTTCCACCTGGCACGCTTGAGGCTTGACACTTACGCAATATTTACGACATGATTCAGACGGGTATATTCTGAACAGTGCCGACCATCTCCAGCACAGTGTACTGCACTTCTGTTCCGTAGATAAGACTTGAAACAATGTAAGTAGATACGCACGAATGACAACTTAAATCTACCTATCGGTTTTCAGTTGAAGATAAAATACTTTGGAGAGTCGAGCAAATTAAGCCGCGCCAAAACGGGCATTCGGGTAAATTGGAATACATTTTGCGATTAGGAACTGAAATTTCTAGCTCATCCGGAAAAAAACTCATGTGTATAGGGAAACTAAGGGTACATACGTCGTTTCTAAACTTAGCCAGATATTCTAGTTCCAAATCAAAAAATGCAGTCCAATTAAGATGGATTTTCAGCAATTGGAGAACAATTCGATAGTTGGGCTACACTTCGCAATTAGGGACTAAAATTTCTAGCTCATCCGGAAAAACACTCATGTGCATAGGAAAATTAATGGTACATACGTTGTTTGTGAACCCAACCAGATAGTTCCAAATCGCAAAATGCAGTCCGATTAAGGTGGATTTTCAACAATTTGAAGAGCATTTCGACAGTTGGACTACACTTCGCAATTAGGAACTACAATTTATGCTCAAATTAGAGACAACGCATGCACAATTAATTTCTCTCTGCGCGTTAGTGTTTTTACCGATAAGCCAGAAATTTTCGTTTCGAATAGAAAAATTAGGTCAAGTTGATCGATCAATTGCTAATTTAATTTCCGGGTTTCAGCTCATTACCGAAGAATTTCCGAGCATCACATCACGCTGTAGTGCGTCAAGTAAACAGTGCGGTAATTTAAAACCTCAGGATCAAGATAAAAAGTTTCCTCAACTGACAGACGAATTGGACGAGTTCCAAGATAAAAAAACCGTTTGGCATGAGTGCCCTAAATCATAAAAAATTAAACTGTTCCAGAGACTCGAGTCAAACTGTATTCAACTTTGATACTTCACGTAGTAAATATGAAACGAGTAATTGAATTCAAACGACAAAGCAGCTGTGATAGAAACCTTGCATACTTTCAACTTTCCATCACTTTTGATATTTGCATGCAATGTTGCTCTTCGATGATAGAACGTCCTGATAACAAAAGTAGATTTCATGGGCAAAAAATTGATACTTTGTGGAATAAAATTGAGTTGGTTTCATTTTCGGACGAGTTTCATTGGCATTTCATGGCTCATTACCGAGTATACGACTCCGGATTCGTTTCAAATTTTAACTTTTTTTCGAAATGTTTCGCTTTTGCTTCAAGATGCCTACTCCTTTAAGTTCTTGGATGACCACTTTATTGATTTCCCTGGGCAAGAATGGGTTTGCAAGTACGCGATCCGAGATTTATGTGAAAATTTAAACCATTCGAAAAAATGTTGATTTCACTTTAAGACGTTCAATTTTGTAAAATCTTAGATAAGGGCTCTGATTAATTTTTCATCCTTTTATTTTCAATGGATTTAATTTTGAAACGGTATATTAAGAGTTAGCAATTTTTAGATCTTAGACTGTGTTCTACTAAACTTTATGCCTTCACCTATATCATAATGGCATTAATTTTCATTTTTTCTAAACGCGTGCTAAGATTTTCATTGGGAGTTTTCCCATATTTTCCGATGAGAGGAAAAAACGAAAAAATCATTAAATATTATACATTATAGGAAAACCGGGGCTATAAAAGGGATCCATCCCATAGTGGATCGAATTATTCAGAGAGGTCGGACATAAAATTCTGACTGAAACTGCAAATGTTTATGTTTACTTCGTCACATTTTAAATTTTAAGGGGTGCTGCTAAAAGAAAATTTCACGAGGAAACCAATAGAACCACTTTTGGAACCTCAAAATCGTGTGTAAACGGAGTTATAAGCTTTTAAAGTTTCCAAATTTTGTCTGACCTCTCCTATTGACTCAATCCACTGAGCGTCATCCTCTCAGATTTGCGAGGAAGGTCCCTCGGGGCTCTTTCTCATACCTTTTTGAACGGACATTGAATAAGGGTTTCTAATGATAGTGATTAATAGATAGTGAAGATAGACTAGTGATAGATAGTTAAGTAACAGATACTGAAGATAGAAAAAAACGGTGCAGTCTCAAAAAGGTTGACAACCCGACTCACTACAATTCCAAGCGACTGGAGACGCATCAAAGTGCATCTATTTTTATCCTGATCGAAAAAACTCGAACACACCTCGGCAAAATGGAACCTGTGAACAACGAGCCCTCGTCTTCTTCAATTCTGGATTTTAAAATGCGAGACCGCAGGCATTTAAACTTGTCACTTCTTCAATAGTGCATGGGTGTACCCTGTACCGGTGATAGTATCAGTTGATTTTGGCATTCAAACAACTTCATTTTGGTGATACTAACATTAACTTTATTTTCCCTTTGTTTTTTTTTTGTTTTTTTTACCAAAATACTTTTGAAAATTTCGAATTACCTTCTTTGGAATCTCTTCTTCACTTCGTTGTTTTTTTAAATGACGATCGGGTACTTTGTCTTCCTCAATTTTATGCTAACCTTCAATCCCTTATTCTTAAAAAATTAAACTTTTTTAATAACTCCTCTAAAAAAAAATCATGTGGAAAGTCCACATCAAGAAAAATGAGTCGTCTCTCGACCTGAATTTTCGTCTATTTTCCGTTTGAGTTCAACAGATAAGAACCAGCCCACATCGAGAGGAAATTGTGATCGGCGTTTTCGGACGGGAAAAACTTAACAGTTGACTTAACAGAGAGAGGCACAGAGATTGTACCTTTGGCTATTTCGCTTTTCATTTCCGATGTAGGCCACAGAAAATGCACCATGCGGCATTGGGACATCATTTTGCAATTAGGAACTACAATTTTTAGCTCATCCGTAAAAACACCTATGGGGGAAACAAACGGTACATACGTTGTTTCTAAACTGGGCAAGAATTTGTAGTTCCTAACTTCAAAATGGAGTCCAATATTTGTCTATTCCAGTGTTTGCGCTGATGCTAACTATTTTATGCTTAACTCATTTTATACATTTTCAAAACGTGGGTTGGTTCATCTTTGCTGGACTTGTCAGTTCATTCAACCCGTGGCGTGGCGTGAATTGCGATACATCGATTGTTATGCCATTTAAACCTATGGTGCAGAATCGATTATTAAGGCGTTCGCTGCGAACACCCTGTGTATCGATCCTTTTCCATAGGTTTAAATGGCATAACAATCGATACATCGCAAAGCACGCCACGCCACTGCATTCAACGGATATTGTGTCTCTTTAGGGTGATTTTTGAACTGATGAATTTTGGTTTTTACAGGACGCAGGATGTTGAGAAAAGCGGGGAGCACGGGAGCGGAGTCTCCGGCAACAGGAGGAAGGTTAACCGGTTCCGATCGGCGGCGCCTCAGGTAAGACCGGTTTTCATGACCGACTGTCACAATCGTACAATCGAGGGAATTTTCTCTATATGATGAAGATTACCCCAGGTCATTTCTTGTCATGTTCAGTATGAACGTCGTGGACAAATTCAAATGCTGCAGCTGAATTTCTTCGAATGATGTGGTTCATTTGGATCGAGTTTAGCAGAGAGGAACCGAGCCACATCAGCTGCCAAATTTAACTGGGCAATTTAATTTTTACAAGAAAACGTTTGTGCGAATTCTTTTAAAAATTTTAAGGAATTTGCCTCGCGCTAGGCAGAATATTCACTGAAATTTGCATAAATATCCTCACAGTCATTTTCATGTGAAAAATGAAATTGCCAAATTAAATTTGACGATAGCTGATGTGACTAGGATTCATTCGAAGGAACGCGGTTCATTTTTAAGAAAATGTATGAAATTTTCACTTTATCAAAATTAAATTGTGAAGAGGACCCTCTGAAAAACCCCCGAAAAATCTAAAATCCTTCGGAAAATTTACTTTCAGACTGAAGAACTTTGGTGACGACCGAATACGCATATGACGTTCTTCCTCAGCGAGGCACATTTGTGTATTAGATCGTCGAGCATGATCGAATGCACGCATACGTCACGTATGGTGTAAATAAACGATAAAGTCTAAAATAATTGAACGAGGAAATGTGCGAGTCGTGAGAGAGAAATAAATACGTAAAAATTGACACGGTTTCCGAAAAACAACAGTAACCCATGAATCACCGTATACAGCAATGACAGCTTAGTCTGGTGTAAGTTTGAACGTGTGTGATGAATATTCAGACGTTGTCACATTTTTATGGTAAATTCTGGACATTTTACGACTATTTTCCACTGCGTTTTTCAGAGAATATTCCTCTTAATTCATTCTGGTACACTTGGTAGAACGAGGCATATTCGTGACTCTGTTCAAAAATTAATATTTAACCTATCAGAAGAAATTTTTAAAAAAATTCAAACATTCATATCGATGACCAGAAGACGAAACCACGTATCTCCGTTCGCGACATGGTAGGCACACATTTTGATGCGAAATTTGGCACAGTGATAGGTAGCCTGTTTCTCTTCGAAAAAATAGAGAAGGAGAAGAAATTTTGAAACCCCCTGATGAAAATACGTGGTTTTGCACTTTTGCCATTGATATAGCGTTTTTCCTTAACACAACAGCAGAATTAAAGTGATTCGATGGACGTCATATCTTTCGTCAAAACGACATGCGACACATCGCATCGATTCGTTCCATTTTTTCAGCTACTCGTCATTGTTCTCGAATTATGAGATCGCAACTCTGTTGTCAGGAAACTAAAGAATTCACTTACCAATTTTGACAAACAAATTCAACGTAATACGGGCGTGGTATTTTAGAGGGAAAATATCGCATTCGAGTGCAGTTTCGATATCATAGTATCGAATGCGATATTTTTCCTCTAAAAACCACGCCTTTATTAAGTTAATATGTTAATTTGTTTGTTAAAATTGGTAAAAGAATTCTTCAGTATCCTAACAACAGAATTGCGATTTCAAAATTCGAAAAAAATGTCAAGTAGCGAGTAAATGGAACTAATCGATGTGATATATCGCGTGTCGTTCTGACACAAAAATATAGCGTCCATAAGGTGATTCGTCAAGCTCAAGTGACGTGGTCGAAGTGGCATCCGATCATCGATTAGGTATAAAATCTCGGCAGATTTTGAATTTTTAGCAAAAAAAAGGAACGAAAGCCCCTGCACATTAGCCTAAAGAATCATTCTGACTCCATAATCGGCAAAATTCAGAGAAATAGAAGCAGAATAGTGTTAGGAAAAAACCTCCCACTCGATTCAGCTATCGATTTCTGTGTCGAATGCGAGGTTTTTTTCCTAACCTATACTGCTTTCATATCTCTGAATTTTGCCAATTTTTGGGTTTAGAATGATTCTTTAGGCTCATGCGCAGAGGCTATTGTCTTTTTTATGTTCAAAATTCAAAATCTTCCAAGATTATTGACCTAATCGATGCGATATGTCGCATTCGCATGCCACTTCGACCACGTCACTGTCCTGCTTTCATATCTCTGAATTTTGCCAATTTTTGGGTTTAGAATGATTCTTTAGGCTCATGCGTAGGGGCTATCGTCCTTTTTATGCTAAAAATTCAAAATCTGCCGAGATTTTTCACCTAATCGATGCGTTATATCCCATGCCACTTCGACCACGTCACTTGAGCTTGACGAGTCACCTTAAGTTGTGTGCAGGTATGACGGAACAGAACGCGAACGACCGCACGGAACAATAGAAGCTTGGTCTGATGTAAGTTGGAAGGCGTGCGATGAGTGTTATTTGATGTCCGCTTTCTCTTCTTCCAGATACTGGCGGTCACGGCCAAAAATCTGGTCCTCCTTGATCTCGGAATGACGATGGCGTTCTCCACGATCGTCGTCCCCGTCCTGCTCGACCCCAACAACAAGGACCCCAACGGACTTTCTTTCACCGAGGATCAAGCCACCTGGTTCGGTAAGCCCCAATTCAACCCTTCCGACCGCACTCAGCTTACTCGCCCTGGTAAAAATTGGCAGCAGAATCTGTGTTCCAAAATACCATAGACCTACAGCGACAGCCGGCTGTAAGATTTCCAATAGCTTCTATAGCCGGCTACACAATTTCTTACAGCCTTTTATAGCCGATGGCGACTGAGCAACAGCCTGGCGATAAAGTTTATGCTAAACGTTACTAAATACGGATACTAGGACTGAGTTAGTTTTTGGACTACCGCTCTCTTTTTGGGCCGCAGTATCTTGATTTATTTTGCGAGGAAAGCTCCGTACTTTTGAAGGACGCCTGCCATTCCTAACATGTTGGAGTGCCTGCAATTTTTTATGATACTATGCAACACCTCTGGTGTGAAATAGTTGCTTCAAGCGCCGTGGTACGCCGCGGCACGGCGGACGGGCAGCCAGCGCGAAACGCGCATTGGCGCCTTCGAACCTAACAGGGATACTTCACGCGTTGCGCAATGCGTGAAGTATCCCTGTTAGGTTTGTAGGCACCAGTGCGTCGCCGCTCCGCCGCTTTGCGTTAGGCTATATTTAATCTCGTGGAGTCAGCGTTTTTCAACTCATGACTTTGAAATGTTTGCACACTCTGTATGGATTATTCTCATTTTAATTGATGAAAAAAATATGTAGTAAAGGAAAATATAAAGTATGCGTTTTGTAAATATTAAAGTGATTCCGTACAAACTTAATGATTTCCAAAGCACACGAATTTCTACACAATTTCTTATAGCCGATGGCGAAAAAGCAACAGCCAGGCGATTAAGTCTAAAGCCCGGCGATAAGAACTATAGCCCGGCTGTATAATTTTTTATCGCTTCGTGTAGCCCGGCCGTATAATTTTTTCCACTTTCTACAGCTAGCTATATGATTTTCTATCGCCTTCTTCAGTCGGCTATAAGAACTGCTATGGTATTTTGAAACACAGCTCCTATCGCCAATTTTAACCAGGGCGTTTAAGTACATTGGGTCAAAATTCCAAAATTCTTCGCTTCCCTCACAAAAGAACGTAACTACACTTCAGTGTTACCCAGTAACGTCATTTCACTAAAACCTGGGGGGGGGGGGGCAAGTGACTTGATATGACCCTCAACATAATACACAACTTAAGAAATAAATCAAGTTTTCGGTAATGTGATCAATTTTTTTCGTTTATCAAGGACTTTTCAAGCCAAACAATCACACTGAAAAAGGACTTCGGAGCGCGGGGGAGCTCCGGACCCCTTACAATCGCCAAATTACACCACTGAAGTTGCCAAATTTCCCCGTGCAGATTGTATTTTCACCAGAAAAATCTTGGAAAGCTCAAACTGGAAATTTCGCTGATTTTTCATCGAATCTCATTCGAAAATCGGCAAAATTTTCAAGAAATTGCGTAGTTATAATCTCGGGAAAAATTGGATTTCTTTTAAGTCAATTTTGCAGCTTTGAAACGGAGTTACGACCCCTTGTCCAGGAAACGACAAATTCAAGAATATTCAATGACTTGAAAATTCGAGACAAATTCGAACAGAATCAAGGAATTTCCAAGACAGAGTGCCTATCAACTTGGCGGGGAAAAAAATCCCTGACTTCCAAGCATTTTCTCGAACCAAAATAATAAAAATTTCTTTGTTTCAAATCGGTGTTCTGCATACAATAAAAGAAAAAAGAAAATGAAAAATATTTTAGAATCAATTTCACTACAGAAGACAGGAACATGTGTACATGTGTGTTTTTTCCGGGTATATTCATTTTTCAAACGACTAAAATTGCAATTCCTTAGAGAAAATTATTCCGCTATTCACTATTCCGAATGCAACTCACAACGATGAACCCCAAACCAGACTGAAACTCACTTTGCATTTCAAATCTCAAGATTTATCGAACTTTTGGTTTTCATGAAATTCCCTGACTGTTCTCTGACCTTATGAAAATCCCTGACAATTCCGATTTTCACGGTTTTTTAGACACTCGTGGACACCTTGCTAGAGGTCACGAACTCTATGAGCGAAAATTGCTGACTTTTCCTTGTTTTCGGCGAACCTTAACATTGACTTCCCTCTCCTATCAGCCGCTACAATTATCGAGCGTGTGCCAGGAAAGCCATAGGTATCAGTCACACTTGGCTGACCAAGATAGCTTTAACGATGAGGAAAAAAGTCTACATTTATTTGCCATGCAGGTTCTATCGCCCGGAAAAAATTTTCAATTTCTAAATGTCGATTTGACGGGAGTATAACCTTGAAAACCGAACCAAATGTGATCTTCCATGGGAAGGAGACCTCAGTCTCCTGGTAAAAATTGGCAGTAGAATCTGTGTTCCGAAATACCATAGACCTACGGCCGGCTGTAAGATTTCCAATAGCTTCTATAGCCGGCTACACAATTTCTTATAGCCTTTTACAGCCGATGGCGACTAAGCAACTCACAGCCATGCGATAAAGTGTATGCTAAACGTCACTAATTACGGATGCTAGGACTTAGTGAGTTTTTGGACCACTGCTCTCTTTTTGGGCCGTAGTGGCGTAGTATCTTGATTTATGTTGCGAGGAAAGCTCCGTACTTTTGATGGATGCCTGCCATTCCTAATATATTAGAGCGCCTTCAGTTTCGTATGATACTGTGCAATACCTCTGGTGTGAAATAGTTGCTTCAAGCGCCGTGGCACGCTGCGGTGCAGCAGGCGGGCAGCCAGCGCGAGACGCGCATTGGCGCCTACAAACCTAACAGGGATACTTCACGCGTTGCGCAATGCGTGAAGTATCCCTGTTAGGTTTGTAGGCGCCAGTGCGTCGCCGCTCCGCTTTGTGCTTTGTGTTAGGCTCTAATATGTATTCTGGCGGAGTCAGCGTTATTCAACTCATGAATTTGAAATGTTTGCACATCCTGTATGGATTATTCTCGTTTTAATTGATGAAAAAAAAAAAATTTAAAGGAAAATATAACGTGTGTTTTGTAAATATTAAGGTGGTCCCGTATCAAACTTAATGATTTCCAAGGCACACGAATTTCTACGCAATTTCTTATAGCCTTTTATAATCGATGGCGAAAAAGCAACAGCCAGGCGATAAAAAGTAAAGCCCGGCGATAGGAACTATAGCCCGGCTGCATAATTTTTTATCGCTTCGTATAGCCCGGCCGTATGATTTTCTCCGCATTCTACGCCCAGCTATATGATTTTCTGTAGCCTTCTTTAGCCGGCTATAAGAATTCCTATGGTATTTTGAAACGCAGCCCTTATCGCCAATTTGTACCAGGATCCGCAACCCTCAAAATTGAGTTACTGATAACAAAACATGGAGGATTGGGGGGGGGTGTGTGTGTGTGTGAGGGTGAGAGGGTGTGTGTGTGTGTGAAATCAAACTCGAGTTGTGATGGTTTAAATGCTCTAAAAAGAAAGTTCCTAGAAAAAGCCATTTTAAATCCTGATCTGCCTTTCAAAGCCTGAAATTGTGGCATGTTTGTGTGCTTAGCGGATCTAGACGCCTAGCATGGGAGGGGCAGGTTATTTGCTGACGTCCTTTCATCGGGGGG